CTCTTTTTTTATTTTTTTTTCCCTAAAAAATTTCATAGTTATAAACATCCTCCCGGGGAATCCCAGAAGAGTTAGAGGTCGTCAACCTGGTAACTTCAACCATTTCAGCTTGAAGCCTTGTTCAATCACCTCGCCGTGAGCATTGCTTAGCTCAGTCTCTGAGTGATCATGTGAAGGCTTGTTACGTGTGCTCTGTGAATATCTTTCTCGCTGAAGTAACTTGCCAAGGAAAAATATGTTTAGGTTACTCAAGAAAGGAATCTGAATAAGCAACCACAAAAGGCACAAAACCAAAAGATCAGATCTTTCATCTGTTTCTTTTTTTTCAGAGAAAAATCTCTCAAAAAAAATGCATCAGTAGGATGTAACACACGCCAAAGAACAAAGCATCCATAAAGCAAATATACCTTCTTTGGTGGTAGATAAGCCTCAAGATAAATTCCATCAATTATTGGAACTTGGCTAAGCATTCATCAAACAGAATTTGGATGATCATAGTCAAGCTTGTTTGTTGATCTAGCAACAACAAAATATAGAGAAGGAATAAGTTCTGTTCACAAAGCGTTTAACATAAAAGAACCATTGTAAGAAGCAGAGTACACGAACCTTGGAGACTTGTAGATACCAGAACGGAATTCATCACGACCAAGAGCAACCTGCATCACTTTGTTCGAACCTAGGAAGAACCTAGATAAATAAGAACCGAATCATGTTTCTCTTCACACGGTACTTGTGGTATGTGTTACCAGCATTTAGCATCGGCTTCTCAGTTCTTCCACCACCTGCAACTTGACCAATCATGGCCATGCATCCACTTGGCACAATCTTTTTCGAACCCGATGGCAACTTCATCCTATCAAAAACATGTGTAAATTCATAACTGTGAGAACAATTCCCTCATCAAAAGAAAGAACAATAGATATTAATAGTTGTTCACTACAATCTAATCCAATCATACTTAATCAGAAAACTGAAACGTAAAGTATACTAAACACAAATCATCATCCAATTCAGCAAAGCTAGATATGAATTCAATGACCAGCGGGAAAATATTGAAACTTGTTGTTAAGAACTAAAGATTTGAACTAATCAAATCTAACGCAATCATTCAAATGGTCCATGAGATATACATATTAAATCAATTGAATATCACCAAGAAAAGTAAGTGTCGTTATTAGGATTATGAGCAATAACAATGGCTTTCTTCCCATAGTAAACAAAATGACCGGTGTACACACCTTCAGCAGCAAGGAAGAGCTTATGCTTCTTGAATCGGAAATGATGACGGAAAGCTACACGATACAACGGAGCACCACATCATGTGTCGTGAATGATCTCCGTCACAACACCTTTGAGATAACCATTTTTTTAATGATTTGGAAATGAGAATGACTTTGATATTTATAGCGTATAAGGATGCTAGGATTATTAGTTTTCAGAATTTTGAAAATCTTGGAAAAAAAGCATAAAATAAAAGATATTATGAACAATATATATTCGTATTTGGTATAAAATTGAATGATTGGCTATATTTGGATAAATACTGAATATTGTAGAGTTAGTTATAATTAGGATTAGATCTAAGTGAATATATTAAGAAGATTTTCGAGTAAATTAAGGAATATACGATGGAATATGCAATTAATAGAAGATTTTAGAGCCGGATTAATGTGGCATATTCTTTAAATATGGTACAAAGTATAATTGTAAATGGAAGAAGATGTAAGGAATATGTCATTTGTTAGATGGATTGTCGTAATTAGTTTCCATTTTTCCTTAAATTTGGGATTGTAGCAATTAGGTATCATAAGTAGAGAAGAAATAATTGTTGAGATTTTTGAAAAGATTGCGTCATATTTTAGGCAAATATATGAGGACCAAAATTCATTTCCATATCTTTACTTAAATAAAACAAATCTAAAAATTAATGTCATAATTTGCGATTTTAGGAAATAAGATTAAACCGAAATATTAGAGTAATTGTAGTCATAATTGGCGATTTTTTTTATTACAACATTCCTAAAATCTCTTATTCTAGATCCGAATAAGGTAAAACCGGATAGATAATGTTTGGTTAGTATCTTTTTAATATTTTCAAATCTTTAGAATTAAACTCATTGACATTATATTGTTGAATTTATTTTTTAAAAATGACGTAATATTAAATAAAAAAATAAATAACTAACTATTTTCATTTGATGGTGTAGACAAATTATTATTACTATTTATGTAATTTAATTACAAATAACAAATATTAATTTTTATAACAAAACAAATTATTTTCGTAATAACAATTTTTCCCCAAATCAATCTTTTACAAAATATTTATTTAATCACATATTCTTTCTATGTAGAAATAAATAGTTAAATAATTATGGTTAGAAGTAGTTAAGGTAAATAACAAATATGGTTAGTTTAGATATATTATATATATTTCTAATTTAGGTGTTAATTAAGAATTAATGTCGTTTTTATTACAAACATCCTTAAATTTCTTATTCTAGATCCGAATAGAGTTAAACCCGGGTAAAACCCGGATCCAAAAGACTTTTTGCAAAAATCCCCTGTAAAAATGTATATGTAGATATATACTCTTTGCTTATCAATAATAAACGGAAACACATATCCAATTGAAGTTATAATTGAAGATTTTATCAAATTGAAGTCTTAAACACATATCCAATACTGTAAACTATTAAGAAGCTATATAATAAACTATTTGTAGCTAGTTGGGAGACTCAACATTCAAGAATGTGTTCCCTGTGTACTGTAGCTTCTCAACTTCTCTAGGCAACTTTTGTTCCCTGCACTCACTTCACTAAAGAGCTTAGGATTCATCAGCACAGATTCGCTGGGGAGGTTGAAAAGATCAAACAATCTGATATTGGCACAGTAGGGTGCGTGACTTCTTTTTCGATTTGAATGAAACCTAGTGAATGGAGTGTGCGGTTTATCAGATTAATGGGGGAGTACTATCTTTGTTTCCGTTCTTCATGAGACACATTCGTTGACCTCTGTGCCTCAATTATATTCTATGAAGACCTACTTCAGAACTGCCCATCTCAAACCTAAAACCATGCATCACACACAAAAAAAAAAGAAACGTAAACTGGTAAACTAATCCAAGAATTGAGATCCGAGATTTAATTTTTTTTGACAAGATACCTTAAATTTAATAGTAAATTAATGACCACTCCATAATGGAAGGCCATCGGCATGCAGAGTAGAGCGAGAAACAGCAATGGCAATTGGCAAGGCCACATTTAAAGATCTCTGTACGACTTCTGGATCGCCCAACTATATATTAGAGTAGCTATTTCTATGACATGAGCTTTGGAGCAGAGCTGTTAAACCCGCTTAATTGGTATTGTAAAACCTGCAGCAAACATTACATTGGCTATAAGTGTTGCCACATGATGTGATCTTTGTATTTGTCACCTTCTCTGGGTCGTTGAGAACCGATGTTCTTCCGAGAAGAAGGTTCAAGAGGTGAAAAGCTCTTTGATTTCGATTCAATAAAGTTGTATCCTCTACAAACGTAATAGTTAAAAGGAATTAAACTCTTAATTATATCCTTTTTGATAAAGGGTATTCAAATTTAAAGGCAAAATAAAATAAAATACAAAGCTATGACCGTTTTGGATCATACATTAATTAGAGCTAGAGTGTTTTTTATGCAACAAAGGATTAAGCTACCCCATAATTCTAGTTTGTATTGAACAAGAATAACATAAGTAGAAGAGAGAGATAAGAGAAAGAGAAGAGCTATCGAACTGTCTCCCGTAGAAGCTAATCCGAAGAAGAAGAAAAAGACGTACAAGCCAAATTATCCAAGATAAAGAAAAGTGTACACCAAATGAATAAGAAAACCCAAATAACATAGGATATAGGAGGACGCCCTGCATCAAAACCTTTCCCTTTCCGAACTAGTGCCTGGCATTTCGATGTGACCATTGCCTGAGATATTCACAGACTGATACAGACTGATACAGTAAAACTCACGATTCTGATAAACACAATAGATTCTGATAAACACAATTTCAAATCTCCGGTTCATGAAACACCAAATGATCAGCTAGCTCTCGAGATGAGAGAAACCTAGCCGTACAAGTTTACCAAAGAATTCAAAGAAATCACAAATTATTCGATAATGAAAACGATGAGCTAAACAGTGCTCATATAGTCTCTAACGGCCATCTACGATCTGCCAATCACCACCTGCCACGCGTTGATTCCAGACTCTTCTTATTTTGCCACTTGAATCCGCACGTGCCAACCCACACGTGTAATACTATATCAAATCTCCCCCTCTTCAAACAACCTTGACCTCAAGGTTCTACGCATCAAACTGGGGAAATTTCCTCTGAAGATCAAAAAGAAATTCCCAAGTTGCTTCCTCTATAGGTTCATTACTCCATTTCACAAGCACCTTTGTTGCTGCTCGGCCCTGACGGTTCACCATCTTACGTTCAAGGATTTGTTCAGGAAGCCTCTGCAGAGTATCATTAAGAACAGAGGGTAACCGAGTCGAAGTAGGAACATTACCAACAAGAACCTTCAATTGAGACACATGGAAGACCGGATGAATCTGAGACTGAGCTGGTAAAGCCAATTTGTACGCCACTTCACCACAGCGATCAATAATCTTGTAAGGACCAAAGTACTTTGGAGAAAGCTTCTGATTAACCCGCAGAACCACCGACTGCTGTCTGTACGGCTGAAGCTTGACATAAACATAGTCACCAATAGCAAAATCACGTTCAGTTCTTTGTTGATCCGCAAACTGCCTCATACGGTGTTGTGCCCTCATCAAATGGAACTTCAAGAACAGAATCATGTCTTCTCTCCCTTGCAGAGAACGAGCTATCACAGCAACTTTAGACTCTCCCGGTAGATATGGCAAATGAATTGGAGGGGCCTGTCCATAAACAATTTCAAATGGTTTCATCCTGCTGGAAGAGTGGTAATTGGTGTTATACCAATACTCTGCCAAAGCAAGCCATTTACTCCACAACTGCGGTCTAGCATGGCACATACACCGGAGATAAGTCTCCAAACATCTGTTAGCATTGACTTCAAAACCAGACTT